CAAATACCTACTCGTGGTTGGCACCAAAATGGCTGAAAATGGCTCTTTCCCCAAATATCTACTCATGATCGACACCAAAATGGCTCAAAATGGCTCTTTCCCCAAATATCTACTCATGGTTGGCACCAAAATGGCTGAAAATGGCTTTTTCCCCAAAATTTCCTTCTAATTGTCACCAGAATGGCTCAAAATGGCTTTTTCCCCAAATATCTACTTGTGGTTGGCACCAAAATGGCTCAAAATGGCTTTTTCCCCAAATATCTACTCGCCGTTGGCAACAAAATGGCTCAAAATGGCTTTTTCCCCAAATATCTACTCATGATCGACACCAAAAAGGCTCAAAATGGCTTTTTCCTCCCCAAATTTGCTCATGGATTGGCACCAAAATGGCTCAAAATGGCTTTTTCCCCAAATACCTACCTGTGGTTAGCAACAAAATAGCTCAAAACGACATTTTCCCCCAAAATTTGCTTCTCCTTGCCACCAAAATGGCTCAAAATGGCTTTTTCCCCAAATATCTACTCGTGGTTGGCACCAAAATGGCAAAAAATGGCTTTTTCCCCAAATATCTACTCATGATCGGCACCAAAATGGCTCAAAACAGTTTTTTCCCCCTAAATTTCTACTCATGGTTGGCAACAAAATGGCTCAAAATGGCATTTTCCCCAAATATCTACTCATGATTGGCACGAAAATGGCTCAAAATGCCTTTTTTCCCCCTAAATTTGCTTCTAATTGTCACCAAAATGGCTGAAAATGGCTTTTTCCCTCTAAATTTGCTCATGGTTGGCACCAAAATGGCTCAAAATGGCATTTTCTCCAAATATCTACTCATGATCAGCACAAAAATGGCAAAAAATGGCTTTTTCCCCAAAATTTGCTTCTAATTGTCACCAAAATGGCTGAAAATGGCTTTTTCCTTCCAAATTTGCTCATGGTTGGCACCAAAATGGCTGAAAATGGCTTTTTCCCCAAAATTTGCTTCCAATTGTCACCAAAATGGCTCAAAATGGCTTTTTCCCCAAATATCTACTCATGGTTGGCACCAAAATGGCAAAAAATGGCATTTTCTTCCAAATATCTACTCATGATCGACACCAAAATGGCTCAAAATGGCTTTTTCCCCAAATATCTACTCATGATCGGCACCAAAATGGCTCAAAACAGTTTTTTCCCCCTA